GAGGAAGAGGATCAGAAGTTACCTTTCTTGGACACTCTGATCCATCGGGGAGACGACGGCCTACGTTTCTCTGTATATAGAAAGCCTACTAATAAAGACGATTATATCCACTATTACTCCGCCCACAGTAACAAAACAAAATCTGGTGTTGTAATCGGCTTCTTCCTCAGGGCACTAAGGATCTGCAGCCCTGAATTCCTCGAGGTTGAGGTTGCTTATATAATTGATTCCTTCTTGAAGCATAAATACCCTAAAGGCTTCCTACTGAACCTCAGAAGGAAGGCGGAGAATATACTCGCAAGATCCAATCCTGCACCTTCTTCTAAGGAGTTTCTTACGTTACCGTCATGCAACGTATCCCAGGCGATCAGCAGATACTTCGGCAACACAGTGAAAATTGCCAGCACAGCCGGGAATAAGATACATGACATGATACGGGAGAAAAAGCAGCCTGTAAACAACACCAACAGTGCTGTGTATCGCATACCCTGCAGCAGATGCGACACAGCATACTTTGGAGAAACAGGCCGTGGCTTCAGCACCAGGATCAACGAACACCGAGCTGACATCCGTCACCACAGGACTTCCAACGCCATGGTGGTCCATGTAGATGAGGCTGGACATCTACCAAATTGGAAAGAGGCAAAGATAGTCCATGAAGGACTGAACAGGCAGCAAAGAAAAATCATGGAAGCTGCCTACATCGCGACGGAAAACAACATCAACGCAGCTTCGGGCAGGTTCAAATTATCCAAGGTCGCGGCAGCAATCATACGGTCAACGAGCGGGAGGTCACAGTCAGGTAGCACGTCAGCTCATGTATAATATATATATGCTCTGTATCTCATTTGTTGTATGTATTTCTGACGAAGATATAATTCGAAACCGGTCAAATACATCTCTTGTATTGTGAAGATACTCATTCTCATTCATACCTTTTCTACATTCGTCGACATGAATACGGTTCATGTATATATATATATATATATATATATATATATATATATATATATATATATATATATATATATATATATATATATATATATATATATATGTGCATATATATATATTCATATATATATGCATATATATACATATATATCTGTAAGTGTATGTGTATGTATCTTTGCATGTATGTATATACCAAGCAATCAATAGGGTTGAGGCCGACGGGGCCGCATGGCTGCATTCACCTTTCTTTTCCAGCCACGACTGTCCTCATAGCGAGCCCCCATGCAGGGCCTTGGCTCATCTCGAATTCCTCACGACAGGTGTGATCAATCTGCCCAAGCCACGACTTCCTAGGTCGTCTCATGGGCTCTTCCATCCAGGGTTGTCTTGGAAACAGACAACGTGGTGGGTGGGATCATCCTCGTGGACGCGAGCCAGGTGCCTGCATAGCTTGAGTTGGTATTCCGGGATTGTGCAAGCAACATGTGTCACAGCGTAATCGTTGGTTGCATATATGGTCCTGCCATCTCCATGATCCGGAGCAAGGACCTGTTATAAAAGGCATCAAGACGAGATTTCAAGGTACGTGAAAACGTCCACTTCCCTAAAGCAAAGCTGGCAGTATTAGGGCCTGAGATGTATCAAGAACCACCACCAAAGATTCCAGAAACTTAGATAGCAACATTGTCAGCAAAGTCAAGGTCAAGGACCCTAATATTGCACAGTGTTGCTTCACAGTGACTTTGGATAGTAGCTCTACTCATAGTCCATGCATGTGCTGAAAAGTGTTAACACAGCCTTGTCTTATTCATGAATTAACAAGAAAGAAGCTCGACAGGCCCTACGACACTTTTACAGCACTCTGAGTACCAAACTTGTAACGGCGTTTCACGATGTCTTGAAACGGTCTATGGTGGACATGTCAGGAATAAATCCAGATTTCTCCGGTCTCTGGTGCCTTTGGACAGGGTTCTTCAAAGTATGGGTAATGACCCAGTACTGGGTCGTAAGCTAATGTTCAGTGGGTTGCCACTTAATAATGATAACACTGATAATAATAACAACTATTAAATATGTATATATATTTATATATATGTATATATATTCATATGTATATATATATATACATATATATATATATATATATGCATACACACACACACACACACACACATATATACATATATATATATATATATATATATATATATATATATATATATATATATACATACATACACACACACACACACACACACACACACACACACACACACACATACACACATGTATATTTATATGTGTGTGTGTATGTAATACATACACACGCACACACACACACACACACACATATATATATGTGTGTGTGTGTGTGTGTGTGTGTGTGTGTATGTGTGTGTGTGTGTGTGTGTGTGTGTGTGAATCAGGTTAAGAGAAAGGTACGATAGAATGGTTATACTGGGTTGTGAAGGAAGTGTACACAATCAAACTCGTGATGAAAATAAATTGAAGAACCATGTGTCAGTAGGTGGTCACGGGTGAGAAC